AATTATCACTGAGCCACTGAGGACTTTACGAAAATAAAGAAAATCCGTTAACCGGACCATACTTAATAAAGATAAGAATAAAAAACATTTTAATGGTTGAAGCTAATTTCAATATACATAGATATACAAGTTGACTAAGTACTCTTCACGTAAACATGCGAACGAAGTAAGAGAAAGAGGAAAAAGAACAAATAATAGAGACAAAACACAATATATTGTTACGACAATGGAAGTCGCGTGACGCTGGGACCATGCGCGCTGGAGTTTCTAGAATTATCGGGGAACGCCGCGAATCTCAGAGTATTTGCTAAACGCCCTCTTTTTTAGTATATAAGCCTGGCAAAGAAAGCCGGCGGTATAGGTAGATAGATCGAAAAGATATACATAGATATGCAGATAGACTGAAGAGATAGATAATTGAGTCAAGCAAACATTAGGCACCGTAGCGTGTGTTATAAAGGTTGTTAAGTTTAAAGTGACTGTGGACATTCTGTGTACTAAAAAGTTGTATCAAGAAAGAATAAACTAGTTTTAATTAAGAAAGGACTTGTATTGCTGAAGTTCCTCGGAAAGAATTTATACTGGAAATTAACAAACGAGCAGATACGTAACAATATATATATATGTGTGTGTGTGTGTGTGTGCATAACAAATTAAAAATGTACAAAACTTACACTACTTATCCAGAACCATCACAAAGCTCTGTTCTCTCTCACTTTAACCCCCAGCAACAGATCCCTGAGTGAGGATGGTTTTACGGTTAACCCCAGTATTCCAACCTTTTTTCAGAGGAGCCTTTTGGTATATACTAGCTTGGCTCACAAGTGGTATACCTCTTCCTTGAGTCGTGATGGAGGCATAGCTCTCTGCTCAACTGGTCCTTCTATTGTTTGTAGAGAGCCTAAGCTTTGTTACATTTAGTGGCCATCTCCTGGCAGTACCTCCAATACAGAAATCTGCTCTAATGTGGGTTGGTTGGTAATTACCATAGGTGTTTTTTTAGCTCCACCCTCGGCAGTCTCTGGGGTTTGGGGCCATTCATGGTTGTTGAGGTAAAGGCCCCTTCTCATATATCGTTGGGATGTACAATGGTTGATCTGGCTGCTGATGTCAACTCTTCATTAATGGCATAGACCCCCTGGTAATAGAGGAGATGGTCCACAAGCTGGCTGGCTCAACTGCATTGCTGTGATAATAGTAGTACAGACAGAATCTGGACGATCCTTAGGAGGATTCAAACTGTTGAAAGTTTTTTTTTTAGCTTAGGTATGTAGTGTGCCAGTCATATATGTGAACACATCTGTCTGCGTCAATGCTTGGCCATGTACACCAGCCAACAGGTCATTTCAGAGGAGTGTCTCATTTCTTTTCAGATGCTGCTGCTGACTTCACTGGATTCAGCAGTAGTGGTGATGTTAGCAGCTAGATTACTTGGAGGCTACAATGTCGACTATACTTTGGTTACTGGTACTCTCTCAGTGGAGAACTGAACCTACTGTGTCTGATGAGGGCTGCTTGGCCCCAGAAGACTTCAGGGCAAATCTGATGACAGATGCAGTGAGCTTTCCAATGTTCAATGCATTGAGGAGAAAGTTCATCTTCAGGCATAGGCTCAACTATGGGGAATGTCAAGTAAGCTCTGTGAGTCTAAGGATTAGTCATGAAGTCCATCTTTTGCTGTAGAAGAACTTCTGGTTGTATATATCTTCATCGAAGTGACAATCCATTATGCAACATAATAAGATTTTTAAAATGTCATCAACAAAGCAGGATGGCTTGACCACTGGCTGGTTGAAGGAAAAGATAGCTAGCATGTTCATGAATTTGACCTTAAATAGCAAAAGTCTGGAAAACATAACATTAACTGAATTCCAATTGGCTAAAAGTTCAACCAGATGTGTAAATTTAAAAAGAGTCATGACTGCTCCATTCCCACCACGACCTACTCTAAAATCCTTTAGAGGTTAAGTCATAGCTTTGTGGCCTGGTCAAGCAACATTTATTTGTATGTACTTGTGCCCTATATCGCTCATAGAAGTTCATCCCTAATGCTTGTGGTCTTTCTGATATCCGGGCTTCACTGGTTCGCCACTTGACCAATACCTTTAGTCACACTGTCCTCGGTTACTCCTGCCAAACAACAGCTTACTCTTCAATATGGCCTCATTCCTCTCCTCACCATTTGGTTATCACATGAATTGAGCCAAATTCCAGTAGGAAGGAATGGGGGTCGAGACGGTAAAACTGGTTCCTACACACATGAGCTAATTCAAGTTAGGTGATAACCAACTCTTAGAACCCACTAATGTTTACATTTCCTATCTTTAAGGACCTTATTTCAATTAAAAGTTTATTACCAGTTTTGACGTGACTTATGAAAATTTTATCACACAGGTGTTACTTTCCACCGCCTCTAATGCATTCACAGCCTGCATATTCATATGTTAAAACTGCACCTTGTACTGATATAATGTTAAGAAAATACTTAGCAAATTTTGTCCTTATAAAATAATTCAATTTGCATGAATGGAATATTTTATCATGACCGAATAAATACTGGGTACACCAGCTTTACATTTATTATAATATCTAAGCTACTAAAGATGAGTTTCATTTACCTCTGATAATTTCACACTCTTATATTAAACAATGGAACACCAGTCGTGTATACGGAACCACTATTAATAAAACTGCTACATGCAATCATGTAGTCCACTGTTCCTGGGCTTGCTCTAGCCAACAGTTGATAAAGCTTCCATGAAACATCAGTTCATTGGTTGCACATGTGAAACTGGCCATAATTTCTGTAGTACTTCCAACCTAAGGATGCGAATGTCAGAACTAGGTCAGAGATAATTACTTTCATTATGTGAGCAGCATCTCCTAGACGCAGCCAAAGATTTGCCTCTCTACTCTTATCTATCTGCCAACATTTGCCAAAATAGGGTATATACCACTGGCCAAAATGATAGTCTCACTTGAACGATTTAATTTGTTGCATGATCTACCAGTGACATAATTGCTCCTGTATAAACCAGAAACTTGATCTTTCACTATTGTACAGTTACAATTATGTATCAAGGTCCAATGAGCCATGAGAGAGCTGAGCTGCCCATCAAATCTTTTGGCATAAGCAGTTTGCTGTGCTACCCCATATTGGTGGCCAGGCTTAACATGGGTTCCATTAGTTTATCAGAGCTGTAATGACATCATCTGCTGCTTTCTTTTGGCCTTCAGGATATGCTAAACTGTTGATCGAAACTGATAGCTTTGCCCACCATGATACTCAACAAATTATGGGTGCTGCATGGCTTCAGCTCTGCATGGTTGAGGTACTTGATTAGGATGGTCTGTGTGAGATGTAGTCACAGCAGCTGCCTCTCCAAGCTTCGTCCTCTCCCTTTCCTGTGGCCAGCTTGAAGTTACTACTAAATAAAAGGTAGTTATGAAAATTACTACTGTTACTATGAAGATGTCACTTAGATCCAAGTAGTATTTCATTTTCTTGCTTGGAATCCTTCGACAAACTTGTCCACCAAGACGTCTTTTCGATTGCAGAAGACAAATATGGCACCTCTCTTCTTAACCTTAAACTCGGCCCAATTATTTAATTTGTTCTCCAATGAGCCAAACTGGTGGTGCAACTCATGCATGACTGTGTCTCAGTCTCATATTTTTGTCTCTTTCAAATGCACAGTAGAGTCTAGAGCTGGACTGTAGAAAATCAGGATCATGCTTTCTGCTAAGACCAGCCATTTCAAGCATTTCCCTGCCTGAAACACTTCAGATAACTGTTCAGATATTCTTTTCACCACACCTTTGGATATCGGCGATGAAACATGCTTGTATTCACTCACAAGGTGGGGATGGCCAAATTATCCCCTTGCAAGTTTTCAGCCAATGCATATTAGAGATGCTGCCAACGTCATGGAACAAGAAGTCAATTCCTGGTCCAGAGTAGCACAGCAGAGAGGTGCTCTCAGAAGTTCATCCTAGTGGTTTGTTGAACCCCAGGTTTCTTTGAGAACTACGGTCGTCTTGGCAGGATATTTCCTTGCTAAGATACATTCGATTCTGTCCATGGTCTTCTCGAGTTGTTGTTCACTGTCACACCTGCTCTGCTTACTTACTAGTGCTACTCAAATGACTGGTAATTCTTATTCATGCAACGTGTCTGCAATAGTAGGACACTGGCTCTCGACTTTCCTGCACGACGTACAGAATTACACCCAAGAAGCTCATAAGAAAGTCAATTTAATGACTTTCTTGATCAATTGTTATGCCAGAACTACATAGAGATAAATATACAACATTTTTGAATAATTTTACATTAAAATGAAAAGACAGAAAACGCAATGGTATATTTGCATACCATGTTTTCTATTTGTACAATCAGGCATATATTTATTAATCTTTCATCGTCATTATTGCTCACTACTGAAACATATTATTGTTTTTATTCTTTTCCAAAACGATACTATATTTCCTTGTCATGAGAAACATTTTTTTTATTAAAAGTTGAAATAGGGATTGATAAATTTGTTGGTTTTGGATCAGTCTCAAATATGGAACTGGTAGACTTGAGGAAAGAAAGCTAGTCAACAGCATTCACCAATAATTCTTGGGCTAATCCTGTTTGTTCGAATAGTGGGATTTGACCGTCACCTTTATAATGCACCCACGGTTCCAAAACACGTCTTTTTTTTCTTTGCTCTTTTTGTGGTAACAAAGTGCAAACAGTGGACCTGTGGATCCATAGCATGACACGCTAATGATCGGGCACATTATTGTTTTCATTCTTTTCAGAAAGGGTACTTTATTTCTTTGTTGTTGATATCGAAAATAGAAATCGGAATTAATAAGAACATTTTTCCAAATTCGTATATTTAATGAAAAAGTTAGTATTTTACTTGCTGTTTATTTGATACGTTTCAATACTGAAATAAAAGTGTTAGAATAATATCCTTTCACTTAATTTTATACCATTAATTTAGGCGTACCTGAAAATTTCTTAGTTCCGTCCACTGGGTGCAAGTTCCGTGCTTTGAGTATTACCACAGTCAGACGTTCAGCACTCGGTAGATAACCCAAAGACACCATAAGATCACCGAGGTCAGGCTAGAAGGTTAGAGAAACCAATAATTACAGAAATTAAACACAGTACAATCAATAATTACTATTGTAATTTACATAAGAAGGCATGTACGAGCGATACTAATATACTAACTTGTCCAGCTCATAGAGGGCACTGCGAAATAAGTATGTCGCAAATTAAATGTGGATGAACACTTTTTTTTTCAGAGAGATCACAATACAAAGTGTACATATATATGAATGATATAATTCTACACATCACATATATGTTATCGTATGTCCAGGTAATTAATAGGATGAAAACCTTGCGCGCTATAAATTAAAGAAATTATATCTTACGTTTCAATCATATTATTTTCCTAAAGCTTGGACAGCGGTGTCCCTTTAGACAAAGCTAATTAACGAAGTATCTTTTTAAAGAGCAAACACAGATATACTACGATAATTAAAAATATTTCAGTAATGAGTAATTTAAAGAAAATTGCTTCTAAATAAATGTTCAGAGATACGTTTCATCTTGTTTTTTGCGCAAAGCTGCACGATGAGTAATATTGCGCTGTGCCCACGACAGGGATCGAAACTCAAAATATAGCGTTATAAGCCCTCAAGCTTACCGCTGAGCCACTGGGGGCAAAGGAAAGCCTTTCTTGGTTTCGAATTTTTGCGTAAAACTACAAAATGACTTTCTGCGCATAGCCGTCCCCTAATTTTGAATTAATAAATTAGAAAGAAGGTTAACAGCACGCCATCTATTGGGCTGCTCTTATCTGACCAACTAGTGGGATTAGACCATCACTTTTATAGCACACCCACGGTTCTCTAGTGCAAAGTGCGTTTTTAGGCTGACGAGACGCGAACCAAAAATTTTCAGATTTGCAGTACTATCACACTAACCAGCAGGCCACGCCTGACCGTTGAACTGCCAGTAACCACTTCTGTCATTAAACTACTCATGTACGCTACGGTTTATATTTGAAATACACTTATTTGTGCCAATGACAGGACTTGTTACTAAAGAAAATTACGTAATACATACTTTCCCAGAGACATAAACATTGATACTAAGTGACCTCAGACTAAGACATCAGGAACAATAATGCAGTTAATGTTGTTTTAAAGACTTCTCAAAATTTGGTTGAGGTTCGATTTGTCATATTTATTGAACACTCAATACAAACTTCTTTTAACAGCCGCAGATATGTACGACTGGACGAGTTTCCCTTTACAACAATAGTTGAACCAAGAGAAAATAAATCAGCAGTGCAATTTTCGACGGAGACGTGACTCATGAAAAAAGGAAATATTTTTATAACTCACTTATTTTTTAAATCCAAAACTTTAAGGAATTAAACTAACTAAGTTAAGGTTACTTTTATTTTAAGTTACAGCTTTACAGTAAGGAAGATTTGTTTTTAGAACAGGTAAGACGTTTAGATCAGTTAATCAGTAAGTAAACTCAGAACGAAACTATTAAGTTAAGCTTTATTTTGTACACGAAGGGACGTATTTAGCTACTAAAAATGGTTTATTGCTAGTACGGAACAATCTTGATCGATTTATACTCAAAGACAGAGAAAACTCAGAAGAAGAATAGGAAGAAAATACGTAGAATGATTTATTTTCTCTAAAACTCGCTGAGAATCCAAACCGACATGTTCACATAAAAAGTACCAGGTGGACTGCTTCTGTAAGTTTTTATGGATTTGAAGAAACTTATGGTTACATAGGAACATAACCAAAAATGATATCCACCAAAAATTAATCGTGTAACGAAAACATTTCAGTTTACCCGATTAAAGTTATCATATAAAATATTCGACTTATAAGCAGTAAAATATCTCAATATATACAAAATGGCCGCGTTTTAATCTTCAATCTCGAGAATTATTCAGACACGGTTTCCTAACTGAATTGGAACACCTTTAAAAATCCTTTATCCACAAAGTTTATTTCATGATCTGTTTGTACGTTTATTCTTGGTTTATTTTGCTCTTCCTTCGAATTTCACCCGCGTATTTGAATAATTGAAACTAAATATACTTCAGTAGGGTCCCAGAAAGTGTTCTGTTTCAAGAGTAAATCAAACCAGAATTAAGAATAACGAATATTCATATTTCTTGCTTTTAAAGTTCATATGTCACGACAGTACAAATTGCAAGATTAAATATCCCTTATGTGACGTCATCTTAGTGTCTACTGACTGAATGGAAGACAACACACTACTGTATAACAGTGCGAGTGGTTAAAATAGGTGGCCTTCGGGTTAAAAGAGTAGTATTTCGGGGAAATAGCTTTCTTCCTTCAGACATATCACTAATGTTATTGCATTTTTTCAGTTAACACAAAACCATTTTAAAAATGTGTTAAACTTACAACTTGAAAAATGAGAGAGTGATATGTGGACTATTGGTAATCAATACATCTGAAGAGTTAATTTTAAATTTTGTTTGTCGTGATATTAACGTAAATCTAGACAAAAGGCTATGTGCACATATCCATCCCTAATTTTCAGTTGACAAGCTAGAATGTGGTTCTCAAGGTGCGATCCACAGCCCACTAGTGGTCTGCAGGGTGGATAGGACTGGTAGGTTGTCCGAGGGGCCTTTTACCCCTCCGAAGTGGTCCGCAGACGAAAAAGTATGAGAACACTGGAAAAGAAGGAAGGCACCTAGTCATCAGCACCAACCATTAACTCTTAAGGTACTTTTGTCTGATCGGATATTGGGATTTAATCAGCTACTTTTGTTTGATTGGATAATGGGATTTTATTACATACTTTTGTCTGACCGGATAGTGGGATTTGATCAGTTACTTTTGTCTGACTGGATAGTGGAATTTGATAGGGTGTTGTGGATGTGTTATAAGAGTGACGTTCAAATCCCACTATCCAGTCAGACAAAAGCAGCTGATCAAATCCTGGTATCCGGTTAGACAAAAGTATCTATTCAAATCCCACTATCTGGTCGGAAAACGGCAGCTGATCAAATCCCCCTATTCATTCATTCAAAAGAAGCTGAAAGTGTGGAGAGCGGAAACGAAGGACGAGCCATAAATTCTCGGATTCACAACTTGACATGATAATTACTAGACCTCTTCTGGAACATTAAGACTAGCGCATGTTTCAGTATAATTTCCGGTTAAACAAAGTGTTATGCACGAAAAACAACATGAAGAGCCATTTCATTGTATTCACAGACACTTTGAGCTAGCCGTACATAAATTAATATCTAGTTTCCTATCATCTAAAATAGTGCCATTATGTCGGTCCAAACTCAGAACCCTTAATTTATAAATTAAAAGTTTGATAAATTTGAAAAGAAAATATTAAATAACTGTATAAAATGTATCTATCTATATTTGTAGCTAAAATTGATAACGAATGAAGTTAGGTTGGTTTGGTCTAAAAAAATCTTTGAAACATTTTGCGCACAGACAAGGTGAGAAATAGACATAATACACCAATTGTGTTTCATTAGTATTTTGTAGTGTGACAGCAATCATAAATTCGCTGTCAGAATTTGAAATGTATATTCTTTTTTATTTGCCAATTGTCAAAATAAAAAGGCTTTTATCTATATTTCTTAATAGTATAAATATATACTGTGTTGTTGTTGGACTTGGGATTCTTCTACAGTAGATGTCTATGACTTGTTATCCATAAATTCAACGATAAATGAACAGCATGCACATCACTTGTTTTCAAAATAACATATATATTCGGAACAAGTTTAAACGTATGTACAAAAAATTATTTACACTATAGATTATAGGCATAGCATAGACACTATATATATATATAGATATAGTTCTCTTCTTGTTGTCAAAAGTCCACTTAGGCCTATTAAATTACTTTAGAATTTCAGTTAACAAGCTCGAACTATCTTCTCTATTACTATCGCATTAGTATTCTGTGTGTGTGATTCACTTACAATTGTGGCATGAGTTACCGTAATCGTTTGGTCTTCTTTCCTCTAAATATCCTCTCTTTCTTTTGTCAAGATGTACTCAGGCTGATTCAATTACTTTAGAACCACGCTTTGACGGAGTAAATTATCATTTCTATCTCCTTTTCTGCTGCTAGTCTTACTCTAACATATTAAACGCTAGGCCTATGTCAGTCGTTAGGCCTAGCGTGGTAGTCAACTTCACGCCGAACTTTTCCTTGTTGTAACTTTACTCTTTTCTGCTATTATATGTCTGCTGTTTCCGCTCGTCTCACATTATTTATATGTCTATCACTTAATCGTCTGCCCGCCTTCTATATTCTCGACGTCAATGTATTGCACGCGACGCTCGATAGTCTCAACATCAATGACTTATAAACACAACTTCCTACAATTGTCTGCTTTTAACTCTTATTATAACAAAAACTAAATAATAAAAATAAAATATTCACTCACAAAAATAAATTAACCACAAATACCTAAACTAAAAAGTCTTTTATATAATGACATCCACGTTATAGATATGTTGATGTGTTATAGAAAATAATCGATATACATAATGATCCTGTACGCCCAAACAATCGCTTTACAGAAGGGATAGCATTGGTCCGCGACTAAAATTTAGAATAATAACAATATATCTATAAATATCTAGAATCTAGAATTATAACCATATATTTATAAATATATGGTTATAATTCTATATTTTACTCGCAGACCAAGTTTATTTGACACAATAACTTACAATCAGTATTTCATGGCGAAGAATATATGCGAAAACGGTGATCAATAAGTTTGGAGTACAAGGCAGCTGAAATTTTCATTATAAACTACATTACCTCCTACTGAAAACGTATATGACGTTTTGGAACGTCGCCTCGTGACATGTGCTTAATATTATATATAATCTTGACATATTAACTTCACCAACGTTTGTTTTATTTATATTCAGAAAACCTGGCGCTGAAAGTTTTCGTGTTTATGAAAAAATATGAATATCCTACTTCAGTCCTAATCCTCGAAATTACTGACTCATAAAATTATCTGTTTCTTTATTAAATTTCGCGTAAAACTGCTCAAGGACTATCTGCGCTAGACGTCCCTAATTTTGAGTGATAGTTTGTTTGGTTGTAATTAAGCACAAAGCTACACAATGGGCTATCTGTGCTCTGCCCACCATGGGTATCGAAACCGGAATTCTAGCGTTGTAAATCCGCAGACATACCGCTGTGCCACTGGGGGGCTTGAGTGATAGACTATAGAAACTAGTCAACACAATCGACTACCAACTCTTGAGCTACTGCTCTTTACTAACGAATAATAGGATTAACGCCCCCACGGCTGAAAAACTTGTTAGAAAAATCCCTTATGCGGCGCACTTCGTTATAATCACGAAGAGTGTTATACCAAATATCAGATCTGACATATCACAATACGATTAATCTGGCCATGAATGATTCGAACAAAACACCTTTACCGTATCTGTATCATATTCTAATGAAAATATTTACACTATTAGTTTTCTATGAAGATGACTATATATGGTCACAATTTTACATATAGTATGACATGAGGCTCCCCTGAGGAAAGGAAAATAATAATAACTTGTGAGGAAAATGTAACTTAATGTAAAATAAGGGCTTCCTTTTTTAGTGTGAATATATATATATATATAGATTCTTACCTTTTCATCTGCTTCTTCACAATGTGATATATTTTTCCACAAACTCACTTTATCTGTCAGATCTAGATCTTGTAACGACACTTGCACATTCCCTAAACACACGTGTCGAGAATATTGGTCAAAATCAAACAGAAGAATTTCAATCGTCTGATGTTGCAACTCGTCCTCTGGAACGTTGAATATAAAATCTTCTTTAAACTGCGGGTTCAACGTTTTGCAATGTACAGAAGTTTGACGGAAGTTCTCAGGATCCGACAGTAACCTTATCTAAAAAATATTACAAATACAGAGGATTCACGAGAATACTTATTTTTAATACAAACAAATATCAAGATGGTGTTATTTCTAATTAAACCTTTTTTATTTATAGTAGAAAATTAATAATTTTAGATAATAAAGTACTCTTTTTTTTTAGATTCAAATAACCAAAATCTATCCTTCATATATAAAAGTCTAAAATACAGGGTGATTATAAAGAAATATCGTATATTCAATACACTAGAGGGAGTTAAGCTTTACCAGATGCATGGTGAAACACCCATTCGCGGGTTCGAATCCCTGTCCCGCCAAACATGCTCGCCTTTTCAATCATGAGGGCATTATAATATGACGGTCAGTCCCATTATTCGTTGGTAAAAAAAAAGTAGCCTAAGAGTTGGCAGTGGATGGTGATGACTAGCTGCCTTCCCTCTAGTTTTATACTGCTAAATCGGGGACGGCTAACGTAAATATCCCTCGTGTAGCTTTGCGCGAAATTCGAAACAAACCATACCGTCTAGTCTATCAGTTCCAAATTCGGGTCGGCTCTGCAAAGACTACTTTTGTGTAGCTTTGATAACTGAAAATGCTTTAGAATGTGCAATTTCATAAAACATTCAGTACTCAGACAAACAAAACAAAGAAAATGACGCTATAAACCTTTTATAAAACACGTGTCAGGAATCGGTACTCGCTGATCTTAGATACGCAAACTAAAAAACGGTTCTTTTGCAGGAAAATTATTTGGAAAACTTTATATCAGTATATTAAATAGAACTTGAAGGTTGAGTAAGTTCAAATAATTTTGGTGTGAGGGATGAAATATATACAAACGTGACACACGGCATACAGAAATTACTCACGAAATTATTAGAATAATTATAAAATGTTGAACAGAACTTTGCATTAACCTCGAAACTACAGAAACACATCTGTCATAGGATTAAACGGAAGTCTTTGGTAATTTGTTCTTTCGGTATTTTGAATTCCCAGCCAAAGCTGCCAAAAGCCATCATGGGCTCCAGGGAAAAATGTGCCCCCCTCCTACCCGAATAGCTTGAAAGAGGTGCGGCTGCGTACACGTTCCGTACTGATTTTATATATTTCGTACAAAATTTTTGCAGCTTTCACGGGCCCCCTAGTGGGTCATTTTTTCGGTATAATAGTCTTGTAATATTTAACTTAAAATATTTATCGATGTACAACTCTGTATTTTATGCAGTTTTATTGTTGTTGTTTTTTGGTGAAAACCTTCACTTATATTGTTTCTTTTCTTTCTCAGCCACAATGAAAGTTTTGCACTTTATATAATAAAGAAAAAGCAACAAACCAACGGACAATAAACAACAAGATGTACTGTTTATAACCATTTCAACAAGGAAACTGGGTTATAATATAACAACGGAATCAAAAGAAAATCGGGTTGGAAATGAACTGCAAAATCAGAGTTTCCAAACTTCTTTCTAAGCACACATCAGAAACGAAAACAAACCGCCAGATGCTGTATGGTGAACATCAGGGGAGAGCTATAACACTGGGTGAAGCGATGGGTGTTCCTTAGAAAATCACATCAAAACTAGGCCACCGTCTGTTAACCGCGTGGAGCAAAAAAATCGAAATTGAATCGTTGAAAGCAACGAGAAATTCCTTCGTTGATCTAAAGTTGTTGCAAGAACATGCTACACATGGAAAAATAAATCTATAATGAGTGTTAGAAGATTCTGGCGAAATATTGTTGTTATGAAAGTTCAGTCAGCGTATGGCTCAACGGTGATAAGACGTCAACATCGTATCTCTTTCAACCCAGAACAGAAATCGCTTCTCTTTTATTAAAATAGACTCTTGTTAAAAGCATTATGATGCAGCGCCTATGAATTGCTCACCACGGGTATCGAAACCCGGTTTCTAGCGTTGTAAGTTTGCAGTCATACCGCTGTGCCACTGGGGACTAAGTGCAGTAGACGACGAAAACATCTTAATTTAAAATTCGAGACTTTATTTATACTAGAATTCCCAACAGAAGAAAAAAAACTTCTGTGGGGAACGATTGTTATTGTGACAAAAACAAATCATTAGATAACGATTTCTTTTTTCTTTTTTTTTTGTAGACGAATAAACAAATAGTCACTTTTTATTGTTGCAATAAATAAATAAATGAAATATCCTAACCCTTCCTTTGCACAAAGTAGAGTAGTTGGAATATCTAATATTGCGTCTTTGTTTATTTATAGGTCAACTTCCACCCAACTTCTTTTATTTATAGGTCTACCTCCACCCAAATTCTTCTATTTATAGGTCAACCTCCATCCAAGTTCTCTATCTATAAGTCAACCTCCGCCCCAGTTCTTTTATTTATAGGTCAACCTCCACCCAAGTTCTTTTATTTATAGGTCAACCTCCACCCAAGGTCTTTTATTTATAGGTGAACCTCCACCCAAGTTATTTTATTTATAGGTCAACTTCCACCCAAGTTATTTTATTTATATGTTAACTTCCACCCAAGTTTTTCTAATAGATGTCGTCCACAAACAAACAAACCATTTTTTTGGATATAACCACAATATATTATGCACTATAAACTATATTTATTTGTCTCGATCTTTTTCTCTTTTTTTTTTTTTTCGTTTCTAGACCAATCGTTTTGACGATAACTTATTATATGATTTATTACAGTTTACATGATTAAATCAAAATGAAAATCCTTTCAACTTTCTTCCGGTACCCAGACTGTTTTGAACCATTTAAGTCAGAACACAGTCCAGCTTACCACTTAGTTTTCATTTCACTTCCTTTAGTTGAAAAAAAAAAAAAAAAGTTGTTGGCTTTTAGCTCAAAGATCCGCTCTGTCCACCGTGGGGAATGCAACCCCTGATTCTAGCACTGTAAGTCCTGAAACTTACCGCTGACCCATCGGAGAACGTGAAAAAAATTAAAAAATTCCATATAATTCTATGTCGTTATGTACACTTCTATGATTTATATGCTTGTACAATACTGCCTCAGTTAATAATACTTTTATATAAGAGCAAGATACTAAAAGATAAATAAGTATTTTTTTTTCTTATTTAATATGTCCGTGTAAGTTTGGTTATTTTTAAAATATCAAGGACCTTCAAGAAGTGGAGTGTTTCTTTGTTTGTTGGTTGGTAAGCAGAAAGCTATACGATGGGTTATCTGTGTTTTGCCCATCGTGGGTATCAAAATACGATTTTTATACAATAATCCCAACACTTGCCGCTGAGCCAACCAATGGGGACTGAAATGTTGTTAGTATTATGTTGCTGATAGTTATTATGTGAGAAAAACACGTAGGTTCAAGAAGTATTAACATAAAACGATAAAATAACCTATAACCCAGGTTTTTATCGTTTTTTATTGCTGGTCGTTTCAGCTTTTGTTACTGATTCTACGAAACGTCGACTGCTTCTACTCAGTGCTGTGGCAAAGAATATATTACTGAATGTGTTATAATAACTTTATTTTTTATATAAAAAGTTCTTTTCTAATGGCCCCCCAGTAGTACAGAGGTATGTCTGCAGACTTACAACGCTAGAAACCAGGTTTCGATACCCGTGGTGGGCAGAGCACAGATAGCCCATTGAGTAGCTTTGTGTACAATTACAAACAAACAGACTTTTCTAATGAGATACAGAGAATTATTCTTTACATTTTTTAATGTTGTCAGTTCAAATCATTACCACCTAATGTTCAAACGGACGTACTGACAACTACTTCAGTTTCCATGGTAAAAAGAGCTTTTATCACGAACTTCGTGTTATTAAAAAAAAACAGAAGAAAAAACCGACGTCGTGGATAATTCATCACGCGCGTTCCTTATAAATGATAACCCGTTTCTATTCTTCTTACGTCGTTGAAGTATGGCACATCTCAATTTATCCTTTTAAAACTACGTGAACATATAAGAGTGCAACGGTTACCAGAGTCTAATTCCTATAGTTGATAAACAATGGCTACACAGTACCACAATTGTATTGTTCAGAACAAACAATTTTTTGATGTAATAAATAAGAGAAAAATGAACTTCAAACAACTTGTACTAACTGACAACTATCATATATATATATATAAGACATGTTTGGAAATTACGTGATACTACAATCTTCGTGATGAAAAACTGTTGCCGAAACTATCTTATCTAGGTATTAACTCAAACAGGCCAATGGCTAATGTACACGTCATCTATACTTTTCACACTCGCCTTACTTTTACTCATTTGAGTGGAGAGCATTTCTATTTCCTCATGATCAATTTCGTAGATATATTTAAGATACCGTATGAAAACAAGACACATGTTATTGTTCAATACTCCTCCAGTTTCATCATATAAGGTGGACTGAAAACTAAGCCTTTAATAAGCACTGATAACAATCTATTATTTCCATTAAACTTAATCTACTTGTCAAATGGTGTTTTCAACATAAGCAGTACATTATGCGACGCATAGATTAAACAACAATATCAGAGACCCCAAGTTGTAGGCATAACCACCCCTAATTCAAAACTGCTCACCAGAACGAAGAGTGGGTGTTACACCACCTAAATATAACACATTATGCGACACATGAACTAAACAGCCAGCTCAGAAACCCCAAAATTTCGGTATAGACAGCCCTAATTTAAAGCTACTGATCAGAAGGAGAAGCTGTTACAGCATCCACCTCCTACATGGTTACTTTTAACCGAATAACAGGATTGACTGTTATGGTTATAGATAGGGGATTCTGAATTTCGGGTTTTGCCCCCCCCCCAATACTTTTTTTCTGAATTCGAATTAAATCAGTAAAATTCTAGAATTTACAGAATACTGTATATGAATAAACGCATGCGCAGTTTTCTGCGATCCGAACGCAACCGTAGAGAATTGGAATCGACGAAGATAAATTTACTTGCCTGTTAGAAAAACGTGGATTCGTATTTTGGCTTAAAGAAGCAGCTGTTGTATGCAACTACTGTGCATTACAAATATCAGTTGACAGACAGAAGAAGCC